AGGTGTTTCTGGTCCCAAAAGGTGTTTCTGGTCCCCACCTGTCGTTTTGCTCCTCAGCATGGCTTCCTAAAAACGCTGCAGGATTTCTCAACCATACACGAATGAGTCAACGCAAGGCTTTTGGCATGTTTTTTATTAGAGTATAACATTATAACATGACATAAACCTCAAAAAAGATTTTACATGATATTGCCCCTTACCCATCTTATATTGGGGTGAGCTTTTGGTAAGGTGGAAACATGGTCTCTTTCATCACATTATATCAAATCTATGCAATTATCTCACTGCTTGTACTGTTTGTCTTTTACTGCCAGATTCGTCTCCAGCACCAATCGTTTGCACAAATCTAATCTCTCTAGTCTCTTTTTTAACTTATGGGTCCATTCTCAGAACAAATAAAAATAATGTTTGTGTTTCTGTGCCACTATAATGTCTCCAGGTCCTGTACTTCGAGCTGAAGAGAAAGATACAATCAGCGTGGTGTTTAAGAACAAAGCCAGCCGTCCCTACACGATACAGCCACACGGAGTACAGTACAGCATAGAACAGGATGGAACCCTTTACTACAATGAACTGGAAGGTAAATACATGCATAAATACTGTTACTGACCATTCTGATCATCTTGTGGTGACCTCCATCTTAAGTTTTAAATGTTCTTTTTGCCAGAAACACACACAGCAAAGAAACTACGAGAGCTGAAGAAACAGACAAGTGAGTTTCAGTCTGGTCATAAAGAACAGATTTGTAGATTTAACCAAACATTTGTTTTATGTTATTGCTATTAATAACTTTCACTCTCTGTATAAACACTGCAGGAGTGGTGACTCCTCCCCCAGCTGCTCTGGTCAGACCTGGGACGGTGCACACATATGAGTGGTCGGTACCTGTGGGTGCTGGTCCAGTAGAAGGGGAACCTGACTGTCTGAGCTATTTGTACTACTCTGCAGTCGATGCTATCAAAGACACGAGCTCCGGGCTGGTCGGGCCTCTCCTCATCTGTCGGCCTGGATCTCTGAAAAAAGGAGTGCAGGTGACAGATTAGAACAAAAAGCATCGTTGTTTCAGATTAGAGCTTTTGGAACGTTTTTGTTTATCGGTGTGTGGGGTAGATTTATGGAATGGATTAAATAATGAGCTAAAAAAAATACAAACATGAACCAGCTTAAAAACATGTTTAAGAAGGAGCTTACTGGGAAATATTTGTGTAGGATGGGTGTCTCAATATTATTTATATTAAAAATGTATAAATAATTGTACATCTAAGGATGAGAATGTAAGATTTAAGTGTCATTCAATGTCGTAATAATTTGAGATTATCTGGTGTGAGGACATTTAAATGTTTGTAGCTTATGAGTATGAGAAGGGCAGGGAATCAAAAGATCTTGTATCTTTTACCTGCTCCTTTTCGAACAAATAATGTAAAAATGGCCAAGAATTGATTATTTGTTCGAGAAAGATTCAATGGTTATGTTTCTATTTTACTTTTTTATTTTATTTTATTTTATTTTA